TATTTAAGCCGACGGTGTACCACTCTCGGCTTCACTTTCCCAAATCCAGCACGGCGGCTTTCCACCTTCCCAAGATCTAAGCAGGCTTGGGGTTCTGAAAGAAATCAATGTGTAATGTCTAGGCCAAGAGCCCTGGAGAGTGGGCATGCAGGTATGGGCTGGCGGGGCTCTCACAAGCGTGGGTGGGGCCAAGAGGCCCTTAAAATTTTTCCAGCAAGGTCTCAGGTAGTGGGACTGATTCCACGTTGAAATATGCCTGAGGTGGCACAGGTAATATTATTATTAACTGTAATAACAATGTAGACAGTTATGGAATGCTACTGCTTTCCAGACACCACTCAGACCCTCAAAGTAGACACTTCGGGGTTATTCCACCACCCACCCCCATTTTACAGATGACAAACTAAAGCTCCAAGAGGTTAAGGAGCTTTAAGGAAGGATCACACAACCGCCAATGTCAGAGCCAAGATTTAAACCCGTATCTCTTTGCCTTCAGGCCCAATCATGCTCTTTCCAAGACACTGCATTGCCTCTCAGTTTTCAGATAGGTGCATTCCAAAGGTGAGGGCGCCCACTGTCCAACAGCCTCCAGGCACTCCCATCTCTTCTATTCTATTTGCCCCAGTCTGCCTATGACCCAAGACATAATGGGGGAAGGGGACAATCCATCAGAAAGCAGAGGGAGGACTGTTTGCTCTTGCGGAGAGAGGTTAACAACTGACCGAGTTAATAGCTAACACTCCTAGCTGGTTATGACTGGAGATGGAGGGGACAGGGTACACTTAAAACGGCAGCAGGGAAGAAAGATGACTTTGTGGAATCTGCTGTGCCAAGGCTATGCTGAGCCTAGTGGTGTACTTTTTTTTTTTTTTTTAAACAAAGCTGGCAACAAGGCAAGGTATAATACTATTATCCAACATTGATGTGCCGGGCACTGCTCTAAGTACTCTGCAAGACAGAGTAGTGGTGGGAAGATTTCAATTATTCAGACAACAGCTGGAGTTTAATTTTGCTATAAGTCTAGCATCAGCAAAAATCCTGATTTGCCTCATTGACTCTTTCATCTCCAGAGTAGGATCTGGCGTCTGACTGCCTGGGTTTGCATCCTTGCTCTGCCAGCCTGTAGAGGGGCAAGTTATGTAGATTTGAGCAAGCACCTTAACCCCCATGAGACCCTGTCATTTGGGCGGTAGCAGTGGTGCCCTGAGGATCCCAAGAGAGAAGGCAGGGCAAGGACCAGCACATTGCCCAAGGAAGCTCTCGCCAAATGTGAGCTGTTCATGCTATTCTTATTATTGTCTCTAGGAGGGAAGGGGCATTTTGACCAACAATAAATAAATTGAGATGATGTGGAAGTAACTACAACCAAGAGGGAAAGTGTCGTTTTGTCTCAGAAGTGATAAGGGTACAGGAAGTCAGTGCTGGACAGAGTTGAGCCAAGCTAATTTCAGAGAGTTTGGAAAAAAAGTCTGACCCAGTGGGATTCTAGCCTGAATCCTTACGTAAGAATTTATGTAGAAAGGATAGGAAGGATAGAAGATATTCCAAAATAAATTTTTGACAATTCATTAATTCCATTGGGAAGAAAAGGGAAAAGATTTATAAAAATTACCATGACTGCAGCAGGGCGCTCTGGGTTGGGCCCATGCTTTCAGGAGACTGTACATGTACATGCAAAAGCAGGGTGTGACCATGCAACCAAGTGTGAACGCACAAAAGCAACTCAGACCTGATGCTGGAGGCCAAACAGAATGTTAGACAATGAAGCGAAAGAGAACATGGAAAGAATAGCTCATTAGGACTTGGCCCACCAAAAGAATTTTTACCTTTTCCAGAGAGTAACCCTAACAAAAAAATGGAAGAAGAGATGCTAAAGGTGGGTACCAGAGCCCAGGGTAGATCAAAAGAGAACTAACTGGCCTTGGAAAAACACACCTATTAGAATCCAAGTTGTTGGACAAACCTGTAGATGTCCTTCAGGGGCCGCTTTGACAAATCTTGAAAACAGAGTAGGATTCATCCAATGAGAGGTAAATGGACAAATACCCAGTTTTCAAAAAATTAGAAAAGGAGACATCCCAATCCCTGGCAAGTTTCTGAAATAAATTATTAACCAAGTGTTTGCCCTTTGCACATAGATATTAGTGATTTAATATGAGTTCTCTTATTCCTTTTCTGACAGAGATTGTAGGGTGGTCATTTAGAAAAATGGTGTTTGGTCTCAGCACAATCTTGTGTTTTAGTGGAGAGAACACAGGATTGAGGTGTGGAGACCTGGATGCTAGTCTGGTTCCACCATTAGTAAGTTGAGTGACCACAGGCAAGTTTCTAAACCCTTCTGGGCCTCATTTATGAAAGATGGGGCATGTTCTTTTAAGGCGCTCTCATTTTTTAATTTCCATGATTCCACATGGTAATGAAAAGGAGACTGAGTGACAGTCCCATCCAGAGGCTGCAGCCCCAGCAAGGCAGCCACACCTCGAGGGCTATGTAATGCACAGTGTCTGCCATGTTAGACTGACCAAGGAGAGGGCTTGGCCCCTGTTTTTGCCCTTTATATACATGTGTTAATGACTTAGTCCCCAAATGATAGGAAGGCTATGGCAAGGGGTCATAGAGTGAAGATTTAAAATGAACTAGATGGACGGAGGGGACTTGGGCTAGGAACCAAATGAAATTGATTGACGTAAATGTAAAGCCCTATGTCTACATTATTTTAAAAAATACTTACACAAGGTCACAATAGGGAAGAGCTGGCTGAGAAGTAGATAATGGGCTGAGGGTCTGGGTGTCTGTGATGATCACCCATTCAAGCTGAAGTGATTCAGCTCTCATCTAGCTGCTAACAAAAGAGCTAGTACAACTGTGATCATATTTAACAATAAGGATAATGATAATGGGGGACATGTGTTGCGCCTTTCCATGGGTTTCCCACATTATCTTATTTCTGGGGGAATGACCGTGTGAGGGGAGCCCAGCCCCAGGATGTGCTCCTGTCCTGGCCGCCTTTGCCATCAGATCCTGTGACAATGCTGGAGGCCTTACAGAATGGGAGAGTAACCAACAGTAGTCTGTGCAGAACAGGGCAGCCAGGACAGGGAAGTCTGGAAACCAGGTCCCACAGGAGCGGCTGAGAGAGCTGACCGTGTTCCACCCAGAAGAGGCACAACCAAAATGGCGGTGTGAGAGGGAGGAGAGATAAAGGGGTCGTTAGGACTTAGGCTCTGACTATCTGCCATCAAGTCTGCGTACTTCCATTTGTACATTGTGTGACTTTGGGTTAATTGCTTAACCACTTGGTGTGTCTCATTGTCCTTGGTGTGCAATGCAGTGTCTTGGAAAGAGCATGATTGGGCCTGAAGGCAAAGAGATATGGGTTTAAATCTTGGCTCTGACATTGGCGGTTGTGTGATCTTCCATAAAGAGGAGATAGTCACAGTAACTGACTTCCAAGATTATTATGAAGGTAATAAATGAGCTGTGTACAAAAGCTTACCTGGCAGATGGCAAATGCTTAATACATCTGAACAGTGATGATGATTGTCATCATGTAGCTGGTGGGCTGTCCCCATGGAGGAGGAAGGAGGGTCATTCTGTCTGGCTTCAGAAGGGAGACAAGGACCAATAGGTGGAAGCAGGAAGAAAGAGAATCTAGTTCAACATAAAGAGACAAGCTTTCAAATAATCAGAACTTTCCAGTGAAGAAATGAGTTTCCAATCACCAGAGAAGCTCACTCCATTCCATTTTGTAGTTGGGGGACAAGCCACGGGGATGATAAGGTACCATAAATTAAGAGCTCTGAAGATATCAAGAGGTAAGCAAATATGAATGGCAATAAGCCCTTCCTTCCTGCTCCTCCTCTGTTGAGAAATCTCTGGAAGTTTGGGTTTGTAGGTAACCCCAAAGACAGTGGATTTTTGTTGCATGCTTTTCATTTTTCCTGCCTCACAATAAGTAAGCTAAAGACCTTGGGCTTTACAGTCAAATTCCCTAACTTTGAATCCTTGCTCTTTTATATATCAGTTGTACAACCTTGAATAACTTAACTTCCTTCTCTGGGTCTGGTTGTTTTCTGCTGTAAAGGAAGTAAACTACCTACAGTCGTGAGGAACAACGATCAGAATTAATACATTTCTTGCTGCATTGGTAAACAGTATGCCAAAAGGAGGCTGACCTTATAGATATTTGAGACAGGCAGATTCAAGCCATCTGGCCTTTCATACCTGGGGTGGGGGATGCGGGGGTGGTGGAGAGTGGATAAAGACACTCTGCAACGTCAGCAAGCACAAGGGCCAAAATGGCACTTAAAATGCAGATACGGGAGACAGGTGAATTCTGCAAGCCTTCCAAATCTTTTTTCTTTATTATTGAAATATGCTTGACACATAATGTTACATTCGTTTCAGGTGTACAATATAACGATTCAACAACTCTATGCCTTATGCTGTGCTCACCGCAGGGGTGGCTCCCATCTGTCACCATAAAATGCTATGACAATACCATTGACTCTATTCCATGCTGTATCTGAAAGCCTTCCAAGTCTCCACATTTTGTCCTTTTCACCGGAGGGATAAAATAAGGGGCGGGGGGGGGGGGGGTGTAAAGTGAAACTTTTCTCTCCTTTGTTCAGAATCTACTATGTGTTAGGTTCGGGGCTCAGCTTCCCACCATATCTTCACAATGGTTAGGCAGGGACAGAATTGATGATAATGAGGTTGGACCAGAGAACAGGTTTGCAGTTGTCTTGAGAACCATCCCTAAAGCCCTTCTAGATCTGAAGCCTTGTACTCGTGTCCTCAGAGCTGACCAGGACTGCATCTCCCCAACCCACTTCAATGGCCAAAGCATTAGGCCTCTGCCACCTTGCTCAAGATTGAGCTGCTGGCTGAGGGCCCATCACACCCTTCATGAGAACCCCCACCACACACACATACACATAGCGCTTGGGTCGGGGTACACTGAGAACACTAACCAATGATCTTTTCTCTCTGCCCCTCAGTGTGACGGGGTTGAGGTAGACCTGAGCAATATCTTCCTTGAGGGCATTGCCATTCTCAACATTCCCAGCATGTACGGTGGCACCAATCTCTGGGGAGAAACCAAGAAGAACCGGGCTGTGATCCGGGAAAGCAGGAAAGTCATCACTGACCCCAAAGAACTGAAATTCTGCGTCCAAGGTAAGCAAGGCATGAGGAAAATTGCTCTAGGTCGGCACCCCAGTGGAGAGGGGCATTCAGGTGGGTCTGTTAGCAAACTGTACCAGGGCCCGTTGCTCTGGGGCTCTGCCAGCTCATCTTCCCTGTTGTTGCAATGTTTACAACCTAATTGAGAAGAGAAAACTTAACAGTAAGGGAGCCCTAAATAACAGTCAGTTGTCAAACTGAGACTCTGAGGTCAGGAGTCAAACGCTGCTCTCAAGGTCACCAGTGCCCTCCGGTAACTAAATCCAATAGTCAGTTCTCACACTTGATCTTCCTTCACTCAGCAGTGGCATTCCACCCGGTCCCTCCCTGTTCCTGCAAATACTAGGATTCCACCGGTTCCTGTTTCCCTGCTCCCCCAATGGTTACCCTTTTCTAGTCTCTTTCACTGATTCTCCATCTCTCTAATCCCTTGGTGCTGGCAGCCCACCGGCAAGGGCCTCAATCCTCTCTTCTGTCTGTGCTCACTCTTTTGATGACCTCATCCAGGCGTGAGACTTTATTTAAATACCACGTGAGTGTCAGTGACTCAGCATGCCCAAAACCAAACTCCCGATGTCCCTCCCACAGACCTTCTCCACCCATAGCCTTCTCCATTTCAGTTGATGTTAACTCCAGCCTGCCCGTTGCTCGAGCCAAAACACTTGGCACCATCCTTGACTCCTTTTTCTCTCACACCTCCCATCCCACCCATCAGAAAATCTGTTAGCTCTACTTTTAAAAAAGCATCCAGGATCCAGTCACTTCTCACCCCTGCATTTCTGCCACCTTGATCTGAGCCACCTTGCTCTGTCCCCTGGCTTACTATAAATCCTCCTAACTGGATTCCTTGCTTCTATCCCTCCCTGCCCTATAGAGTCTGTTCTCACCACTACATCAGAGGACCCCTGGGAAAATATGTCAGATTATGCCACTCTGGCTCAAAATCCTGCAGTGGCTCAGAGTAAAAGCCAAAGATCTATATGTGGCCCAGAGGGCCCTAGATAGTCTGGCCTCACGTTACCTTAGTGACTTCATCTTCTATCACTCTCCCCCTCATCCCTCTGCCTCTGACACCCTTTCTCCTCTAACACAGCAGGTTGCTTCTATGGACTGACTATACTTCCTGACTGGAGCAACTGGGAAGTATGCCTTAGAGGCCATCAGCTGGACCTTGCCCTGTCAGCCCACTAGGATACCGAACACACCTTCAGCCCTACCCCTTACCAGCCATTTCCACCAATGAACCAAGTAGGAACTTAATCAGAGTACCTGGGCAGCTCTGATTCCTCTGTGGTTTGGATAAATGGCCCCCAATGATCCTCAGGGGTTCTCAGTAGACTGGTGAGCTGAGGGAAGAAAGCCATGTGTGAGGGTATTGGCAAAGATACCACACCAAGAGGCAGGAGGCTGGGTACAAGTCCAAGTACTGGCACTAACTATTTTTGGCGCCTCAGTTTTCTCTTGCTGTAAAACCAGGATCTCGTGTAAAATTTTGATAGCTGAATGAATGGGGTTGAACCAGATCATTGGTTCTTACACCAGGCCTGCTTATTGGAAATGAAGGTTCCTGAGCCCTACCCCAGATCCACCTAATAATCACCGGGTTGGTTCCTGGGAATCTAAATTTATAATGAGCTCCCCAGACAACTCTGATGGGCTGCCAGTTTTGAGAACCACTAACATAGACAAACTATCCGTGGATCTGGATCTCTGTTCTTTGATGTCCCTGGCTGACAGGTGCTAACACTGGATGTGATCCTACCATAGAAGGAGACAAAATTTGGCTGACCATCAAAGGGAGGGGTTACTTGCTTATTTCAGACCCATCTGTTAGACAGATTGTTCTATTCCAAGGCAAGGTCATCCAGAGGTGTCATCTCTACACCTCAAGCCTTTAAGGGAGGACTCAGGAATTTTTATTTCTCTGTTGCCCTCTTAAGTCCCCTTTATTTCACACAGTAAACTTTTCAATTTATATAAATTATTAAAATGAATAATGTGTTCCTCCTTCCTCCCTTGGCAGGGGAAGTTGTGGGTGCTAGCAGAGGGTGGGGAAGCATTGGAGGTTGTAGAAAGTTTGTACAAATTTTCCCACCCTGGTGCTCCTACCCCACACCCACCCTGACATCCAGTTCCAGCAGAACAGAATCAGGGCAGAATCTTCCCCCTACCTGCCCCCCCCCCCCAGGGTGTGGAGAAGCTCTTGCTGAGGACATGTTCTGGTTAGGACTCAAGGACTTATCTTCTCCTTACATATTGAACCATGTATCTTCCCCTTCCAGCGAGAGGAATGTGTCTGCTGATCTACCCATCATCTACAGGAACTCTCTTCCCCAAATCCCCCTTTCCCACCCCCAGAATGTGCTTTCAGAGCTAAAAATGAGCTACTTCCTGTTCTTTCGATGAGGACATGAGCTGATCAGAGCAGAGGCCAAAGTGGGGCCTGGCTTCTGGGCTTTACAGAGAAAGTGGCATTGATCTTTCTTTTGAAAGGGCTGTGATCTCATTTCCGTTGAGATGTTAATGGGGGAAAGCTAAAGAGACAACCTATTTTCATAGAGAACATCGGCCTGAGAGTCGAGAGACTGGGTTCCAGTCCATACTCTGCCTCTCACTAGTGTGCGATGTTGGGCAAGTCTTTCACCCTGTTGGGTTTCAGTTTTCATTATCTGTAAAATAGGCAACTAGGCTCCTATAGATCACAGGTTCCTTGCAGCTCCACAAAATTAAGGCATGGCTAGGTGTCGGTCTAGGTGGGCTCCTTGAGCTAAATCATCTGGCAGGTTCCTTCCATCTTTCAGTGTGTTTTGTTTCAGTTTTTAGGCCAGCTGCTGGGAAGGCAGGAATCTCTCTCAACAGGCTCTTCATTTGCTGGGATTCTTTACTCCTTGGCAATTTCATTGGGATTAGAGGTGAGGAAGAAGTCAGGAGAGAGCAGTGGGAGGGAAGCAATTTCTCTTAGGAGGTATAAGAGGAAATGCACTAGAAGGGGTTACTGTCAAACCTCTTCATCACAGATCAGTCTTTCTCCTTCGAAAAGCAATCTAAGAAGTAAGGTCGTTCAGAATGAGCATGGAATGAGTTCTATAAAAACATTGCCTAGTTAGAACACAATGAGTGCCAGGAAAAGCACCATGCTTGCAATTGAATGATGTGGGTTTACATTTAGGCTTTACACCTTCCGGTTTTATAAACCCAACTTCCTGGGAGTCTCAGCTTCCTCATCTGTAAAATGGGCATAATAATATCTAACTTTTTATGAAGATGATGGATGTGAAAGTGCCTGGCACATAGTATAAGCTCAAACTTAAAAAATTTCCCCTCACCTTTCATCCTAGTTTATTCTGGGACATACCTGTTAAATTTCTGATTTTGAAGTTCTTAACTTTAGCATTGCCATCTACCTGTACTAGCAATAAAAAGGAGCAGAGCTTCTGCCAAAGTCCAGCTCAACCATTGTCCTAGCACATTAAACTTATAACATCAATTGTACCGACATCTCCTTTCCTAGACCTTTCATGTTCCAAGCATGGAGGCTTGGCGTAGTCATCTTTGTATCCCCGGTGCCTGACCCAGTGTGGTTAGTCAAAACAAAGTTGTTAGATAATGAACAGTACGTGGGCATTGGTTCTTTTTCATTTTTATAACACCAATAAGAAGAGTGATAGATAATCCCTTATATTTGCATTTCATTTTGGCTTACAATTAGTTTTGCATATATTAACTTCATGTGATCCTAACCAGAGACCCATGAGCAAGGTTACACCCACTCCCTTCCATATCCCTACTTCATAGCTGGGAAAAAACAGAGGCCCAGAGAAGGGGGCCTTTTACACAATTTACATCCAGTGGTAGCATCAGAACCAAGTCCATGATTCCTAGCTAGCCTCAAGTGGCTAGTGTCCAACCAGAAAATTTATTTGAAAATCCTATTGCATGTTGTACACGCCAGACACTCAGAAAACAGAAAATGTTTATATACCAGGCCAAGGAAAGGCTCCACATAGACCTGTGAAAATTCTGCTCATCCTTTAAGGTCTACGTCCAGGGCTGTCTCCTTTCTGGAGCTTATGGTGGCACCTCTGGAAGTGAATCCAACCTCTGTATTCCTAGAGCACTTGATTTTGCTGTCTTGACAGTACACTGATTATGGGTCACCCTGTTTCATAGGCATGTGTATCATTGTCATTTCTTTCTCCTGCCAGTACCAGGAAAATGGGGAGCATGTGATCTTCATCTTTGTGTTCCCTTCAAAGCCTAACATCTTACCCACCTGGCTCACGTTGTTCTACAGAAATGTTTTTTGGAGGGAGGGAACAGGAACAAGCACTCAGTGGAAATCTTGAAAAAAATTTTAAAAAAAAGGTATTTTAAAGAGTTACATGTGAGTATTTATGAGGCTGAGAGTTTCATCTCGTGATACCATTAGACTCAATTGATAAGTAAAATGTGGCAACTATCTGCAAATGAGTAATTCAGATCTATCTTGAGGACTTAGAATCAATGTAGGAAAAGGGGCGAAACATTGAGCTAGAAGTTGAAAGACCCAGGCCTTCCCACCACCAGCCACGTGACATTGGTTAAGTCATTAAACCTCCCCAAGTCTCCATTTCAACCCATACAAAATGGAAACAATTATAGTCTCTCTCATTCAGCATTGTTTTGAGGGTTAAATGAAATCATCCACGTAGAGCATTTAGCAGAGTGCCTGGAACATGGTGAGAGCTTCATCAGTAGTAATCAGAATTATTGTTTAGTGATAAATGGAGGGTGATAAATATTTAGTGTATCGTAAGAAAGGGGCCAGATTTAGAGTTTCGCTCTCTTAACCTCTGCTTTCAGAAATTTGATCTAGATTATTTTTAAATTACCTGTGGCTCTGAAAACCTGTACCTCTAGGGTTATTTGACGGCATTATGCTTCAGTTGGTTTGGCTATTGCTTCCAATATGGGAGTTACCCCTGAGCTGGCTCTCCAGTGAAGCAAGATAAGAG